CTGAGGGCTGGGAGAGGCAGTGAGGGGAGGTGTGTCCTTCCTGCAGGGTGTCCAATGTCCCCAGTGTTGTCCAAGGACACTTGCCCTGTGCTCTGTCCCTCCTCCCCCCTCCCTCCAATATGGACCCAAGGGCAGCATTCAGGGAAAGATAAGGCTTCTGGGTGTGTCTGCCCAGGTCAGTTCTGAGTCCAAGGTTCTCTGTCTGCTCCCCTTTACTACTAAGTTGTGGTGTGGGCTGGGCTGGGCTGGGCTTGGGACCTGGGGTGGGGCTGGGAGCAGTCCTTTGCAGCTTCAACCCCTTCCCTTCCATGCCGTTAATGGATTGAATGTGATTAAACAGAAGCAGGACTCAGCTGTGCCTTCATCTCTGCAAGTATGAGAATGAAGAGATAAAATTCAGTCTGTGTGGTGAAAGGATTGGTGCAGTAAACAAAAGGAAAGCCAGGCTAAGTTTCTTACAGACAGGAAATTTATTGTGTTCCCCGGTTAGGTTTGCTAACCCTCTTGGGGGTCGGACAAGTCACACCCATTGGGGGACAAGGACAAGCTTTTATAGAGCGGGGTCTGGCCTTGGAGGGAGGTGGAGAAGGTGAAGTCAAAGTTGCTTTTCAAATAAATTTTTTCTCTTGGAACTGCTTGTTCTCTCAATGCTGCTTATCATGTCCTGTGCAAACCGGCATGCAGGTGGCAGCAGTTTCAAGTTCCCCCACTCTGAACCCCAGTCTCGACCATACATGTAGCACAGTTCCTGGCATTTAGTAGGTGCTCAGTAGGGTTTGGTTTCTCACCTCTGTTTCTTTATCAAATTCCTCTAATGTCTCTTAGGCCTTGAGAAGTGTCCTCATGCACAGGGGTTTGTGGTGCAGTGGGGGTTACGTGGGGGCAGTTTTGCCCTGTCTCTTTAGTTATTTCTAGATTGAGGTGGATTTTCCCAATAAACCTGAGTATAAGTTGAAATATCAGAAGTGAACCTTTAAGGCTGAAAAAGAGGGGTGGGTTCAGTTATAGCCATAAATCCTGAGTTTACACCAAATTTTAATAACTCAGAATGGATTTCTAGGTAGAAACCAAGTATTTACATGTATCAGGAAGTCAGTTCTTGCTCCATGATGACACATATAGTAAGTCACTAAGAACAGGCAGAGTGAACATTTGCAGTTTTTGTTGGCCAGGTGTAAGGGCAAGAAGGACACTGAGCAGGTTTTCTGATCCAGCAGACCAGATAAAGGAGGAGAGAGTCCTGGAGCCCCTGGTGGCTTTTGTAGGCTTTTATTGGTATTTACCAGATACACAGCAGGTAGGGGTGCTGGGAGACCCGGAGACTGGCAGGCCTCCCAGTCCCCAGCAAGTCTTCACTCTTTCTGGGCTTTCCGGACTTCTCTCTCGTTCTCTCTGCTTTTCTGCTCGCTCTTGTGGTTCTGCTTCTGCTTCTGTTCATTTTTCTTCTCTTGGCTTCTCTGTTCCTGCTGGCGTCTCCATGACGCCACCCTTAAAAGCCCAGTCTCAGCCCAGGTGAATCCCATCTACGTATGTCTACACCCTATTCCAGGTGCCCACCATCAGGCAGGCATTCGGGACCACAGGGTTCCGTCATCTATCCTGATGGCGGGAGGGCAGAAAAGCCTGATACTTTTTACCTTACCCTACACCAGGTTTCTGTGAAACTCTGAGAAATTTGGTTTTCTGGTTTGGAGAAAGTGATGTGAGAATGACAAGCTGGCAGGAGTACAGTGAGGGCCACATTGGCCAGAGTCAGTACCTGGTGACCCTGAGCCCTGGGCAGGCCTGGGGGCAGACGCAGGTGCTGACCTGAAAGTTTTCAGCTCTGTGAGATATGATTATTCACCTGTTTATGTTTGCAGGGGATAAAAAAAGACAGGGGAGTATGGTGGACATTGTGTCCATCATGGTCTGGTGCTCAGGTCAGAGGTGATGTCTTTTGTTCTCAGTGGAACGAGGGGTTGTAGGGTAAGGTAAAAAATATCAGGCTTGGGCCTCTGTAAGGGCCGGACTGGACACAGTGCAGGTTTTCTGATCCCATGCAGACCGGGTAAAGGAGGAGTCAGAGTCCTCAGTAGTTTTGCAGGTTTTTTATTTGGGGTTCACCAGGCATATGGCAGGCAGGGGTGCTGGCTGTGGGGCTGGGAGGCTGGCAGGCCTCCCAGCCCCCAGCAAGTCTTCACTCTATCTGGGCTCTCTAGCGTTCGTTCTGCTGCTTCTCGGCTTCTCTTTCAGCTTCTGCTTCGGCTTCTACTGCTGCTACTTCTGCTGCTGCTGCTGGCGTCCCCGTGACGGCACCCTTAAAAAAAGCACAGTCTTAGCTCAGCTGAATCCCATCTACCTATGCCCACACCCTATTCCAGGTGCCCGCCATCAGGCATGCATTCAGGACAAGGATCCATCATCTATCCTGATGGCGGAAGGGCAGAAAAGCCTGATATTTTCTTTACCCTACAGCCTCCCCGGTGGCGCAGCGGTTGAGTGCTGGGTGGCGAAGCTGCCCGCAGCCTCTGCAGCGCCGGTTCAATCCCCGGCCACCGCTGAGGATCCCACATGGCGCGCAGACCTCTCCTGCCGCCCGCTGCTCCCTCAGCAGTGTACTTCGGTCCTTCTGCCTGTTCTGCTCCCCGCTCTGGCTCTGGTGAATTCTCTCACCCTACCGCGCTTCTGACTGTACCCAGTGCATGTACAAATAAATAAAAATAAATCTTAAAAAAAAAAAATCAGGCTTTTCTGTCCTCCCGCCATTAGGATGGATGACGGAACCCTGTGGTCCCGAATGCATGCCTGATGGCGGGCACCTGGAGTAGGGTGTGGGCATAGGTAGATGGGATTCACCTGGGCTAAGACTGGGCTTTTAAGGGCAGCATCACTGGGATGCCAGCAGAAGCCAAGAAAGAAGCAGAGGAGCAGAGAAGCCAAGAGAGAAGCAGAGCCATGAGAAGAACAGAGAGAATGTGAGAGAAGGCCGGAGGGCCCAGAGTGAAGACTTGCTGGGGGCTGGGAGGCCGGGAGGCCTGCCAGCCTGGGAGCCTCCCAGCCCCCCAGCCTACCATATGCCTACTGGTAAATCTAAATAAAAGACCTGCAAAAAGCCACCGAGGACTCTGACTCCTCCTTTACCCAGTCTGCTGGATCATAGAAAACCTGCTATAGGGTAAGGAAAAATATCAGGCTTTTCTGCCCTCCCGCCATCAGGATAGATGAGGGAACCCTGTGATCTTGCATGCATGCCTGATGGCGGGCACTTGGAGTGGGTACACCTGGGCTAAGACTGTGCTTTTAAGGGCGGCGTCACGGGGACGCGAGAAGAAGCCGAAGCAGCAGAAGCTGAAAGAGAAGCCGAGAAGCAGCAGAACGAACGCCAGAGAGCCCAGATAGAGTGAAGACTTGCTGGGGGGCTGGGAGGCTGGCAGGCCCCAGCACCCCTGCCTACCATATGCCTGGTGAACCCCAATAAAAGACCTGCAAAAAACCACTGAGGACTCTGACTCCTCCTTTACCCGGTCTGCATGGGATCAGAAAACCTGCACTGTGACCCGTTCCTGACCCTTTATACCTGCTTTGTGTCCATTCCTGCCCCCTACAGGGTTTTCTGGGTGGACGAGGCCGAGGGGCAGCAGCAGTATCTCTCTGTAGACTAGCTCAGCTGAGGCTGGTGACGGTCCTCCCTGCTAGACACGGAGCATTACTCACAGGGCCTAATCCCAATATCCCACATGGTTCCCAGATGACTGAAGTCAGGGTGTAGGGTAAGGAAAAATATCAGGTTTTTCTGCCCTCCCGCCAACAGGATAGATGAGGGAACACTGTGATCCTGAATTCATGCCTGATGGTGGGCACCTGGAGTGGGTACACCTGGGCTAAGACTGTGCTTTTAAGGGCGGTGTCAGGGGGACGCCAGAAGAAGCCGAAAGAGAAGCTGAGAGAGAAACAGAGAAGAAGCAGAAGCAGAGAACGCCAGAGAGCCCAGATAGAGTGAGGATTTGTTGGGGGCTGGGAGGACTGCCAGCCTCCCGGCCCCCCCAGCACCTCTGCCTGCCATATGCCTGGTGAACCCCAATAAAAGACCTGCAAAAAACCACTGAGGGCTCCAGGACTCCTCCTTTACCCGGTCTGCATGGGATCAGAAAACCTGCTCAGTGGTCCATTCCTGCCTTTACACAGGGCTATGGTGGAGAACATGCCCCTTGACCCCAAAAAGCACAAGTTGGGGAGCAAGGGAGATCAAGAGGTAGTGGAGAGCCCTCTGACAGTCACTTGAGGTGAGGCCTGAAAGGTGAGGGTTTGGGGAGCAGATGCAATAGGAGCATCAGGGTCTGTGAGGAGGCCGGAGGCTAGGAGAGCTGCCTCAATTGGAGGAGTCACCTGAGCCAGGAGGGTCCCCAGGGAGAGCAATGGGAGGGGTTCAGAAGAGGGGGATGACTGGGAGCCCCTCCTTTAAGCAAAGGAATCTCTTTTTTTAATTTCATTTTTATATTCCTCATACAATTGCAACCCCCTTATTTTGACCCCAATCACTCCTTTCCCCGCCCTGCCCCCCCCAATTGTGTCTCTGGTTCATAGTTGTTTGTTGATTTTGATTTTTTCTTTCTTATAGTTATTCTTTTTCCTAGTCCCTTATTTAGGTTTTCTAGATTCCTGCTATGAGTGAGACCATCTGGTATTTTTTTCTTTCTGGCTTATTTTGCTGAGCATGATCCCTTCCAGTGCCATCCATGTTGCTGCAAATTGGATGTGTTTATCTTTTTTGATTGCTGAGTAATATTCCATGGTGTATATGTACCACATCTTCTTGATCCAGTCATCTATTTTTGGGCATTTGGGTTGTTTCCAAAGCTTAGCTATTGTAAACAGTGCTGCTATAAACATAGGGGTGCAAGTGCTCTTTGGAATTAATGTGTCTGTGTCCTTTGGGTAAATACCTAGGAGTGGAATAAGCAAAGGATTCTCTTGAAGGGATGAAGTAGGGAGGTGACATGAATTGGTTGGAGAGGGTCATGACCTTGGAAGAAAATGAACTGGAGGAGGTGAGGTTGGAGGTGGGACAGGGCACCATTGGCCAGGTGAGAAATGAAGGTAGCTTGAAATAGGTGCTTCCTGTGGACATAGATTGACAAAAATCTTGATTTTGTTAGTGGATTGGGAATAGACTGGGTGGGGAGTGGACTGTGAAGATGACCCTGGAGTCTCTGGCAGAGATACTGGGTGCATACAGGTGCCCTTCACTGAGAAGGGGAAACCACAGGAAATGAGGGGGGCGGGGAGGCCCAGACTACCCAGTTTCCTTGGAGATGTAGAATCGGGCCTTCCTGGTGACCCCGTGTCCTGGGAGACAGGGTCTGGTCACTGTGACCAGGTCTCGGGTGACATTAACATCTGAACAGGCCGCAGGCCCCGTCCATGCAGTGTGGGCAGGACCAGGTCCTGGCAGCTCCTGGTGCCCAGTGCTGACTCCTGGTGTCCAGGGTGTGGGGCTCCTGGGTCAGCTGCTGTGAGGAGAAGAGAAACAGCGCCCCTGGGGGCTCCTCACAGGCTCTGCCATGTGCAGTAACAGCTGCCATGGGGTCACTGGGTTAGTCACCATCAGGCACAGGCTGATCCCTCCATGGGGCTCAGAGTCAGTCCTGACTGGGCCCCACACTCACCCCTAGTTCTGGGTCTGGGAGCCAAGCAGCCTGGAGCACAGTGGGTGCTCACAGTGGGTGCTGGGTGGGTGCCTCCCCTGTGCCTGCAGGGGTGTCAGGGTGCCTGCCCCTCCCCTCTGCTGGCTCCTCTGATCTGCTGTTTCCCTCCTGATAACTGGGGTGCACTGTCCAGAGGGCAGGGTAGAGTCTGCTGGGATTGCACTTCAGCTTTTACTTTCAAATTGTAGAAGGAGCTTTTTTTTTATTTAAAGATTTATTTATTTATTTATACAAGCACTGCGTACAGTCAGAAGTGCGGGAGGGTGAGAGAATTCACCAGAGCCAGAGTGGAGAGCAGAACAGGCAGAAGGACCGAAGTACACTGCTGAGATAGCTTAATTGGTTCTTCTAGGAGAAATAAGCGAGGACCCCAGGGCTGGTCTCTGCAGATACCGCTCAAGGAGTACCAGGTTATGCTGTCTACTCTCCTGGGAACCTTCTTCTCTGAGCCATGAGGTCCCTGACACCCAGTAAGATTCCTGAACAGCTAACATCAGGTGCAAACTCTATAAGAAGATTTGAAGTCTTTCGGAAATGCTGAAATTTCTCAAGCTTGAAGCGATATTCTAGAATCCCTACATTTCAAATCTGGTAAGACAGTTTAGAAGACATGTTTCTTTAAGAAGCTGAAAGTGGGGAGCAGCTGACTGTAAGGAGGAGTTGAGAATGTGATGGGGCTTAGGTGGATGGGAGGTGGCACAGGAAATGGTGCAGCTCTATGAAGACCCAACATTACCTCATTGGAGACTGAACTTCACACATTTTAATAATGTGTCTCTAACAATTCCTGGAGCAGGACCCTGTTCTAGAATTATAGGTAGTGAATCTTCCAATATAACGTCACACAATTCTCATTCTTACCTTAGTTGGGAGATGCTGACACTATTCCCACTTTTCTGGTGTGGAAATTGAGGGAGGAATGTTAAGACACTTGATGAAGATAGTCACACAGACAGTGGCTGAGTCCAGAGGTGACCTCACAGTCAGCCTGTAGTGTCTGTCCTTTCTGGAACATGGCCTACCACCCCTAATTCCTGCCATAAGTGGTTTGAGGATATTTTCTCTGAGTAGGACAGATTTTCCCTTCTCTGCTGCTCAACTAGAGGCAGAAATCCCCTACAGAGTTAGTAAGGATGAGGATGAGTTCTCACTTGGGTTGGGGCAGGAGCTTGTCCTTTGTAGGGGCAGGAATGACACAGTGCAGGTTTTCTGAACCAGCAGACCGGGTAAAGGAGGAGTCCTAGACCCCTTGGTGGCTTTTGCAGGCTTTTATTTAGATTTACCAGACATATATGGCAGGCAGGGGTGGTGGGGGGCCGGGAGGCTGGCAGTCCTCCCAGCCCCCAGCAAATTCTCACTCTATCTGGGCTCTCTGGTGTTCTCTCTGCTTCTCTTCTTCTCTTGGCTTCCATTCGTTCTTGGCTTCTGCTGGCGTCCCTGCAATGCTGCCCTTATAAACTCAGTCTCTCAGCCCAGGTGTACCCACTCCAGGTGCCCGCCATCAGGCATGCATTCAGGACCACAGGGTTCCCTCCTCTATCCTAATGGCAGGAGGGCAGAAAAGCTTGATACTTTTACCTTACTCTACACCTTGGCCCTGGCAGGTCAGGGCTGGGGAGGGACTGAACATCAGGTTAACTGAACAAGCAGACAGAGCAGGACAGGGGCCTGTGGGGGAACCCAGACTCCTCGGGAACAATGCCATGTGTCCTGATGATTCTCAGGGACACCTGCTCATCTGAGGAGGACAGAACCACAAGCAGGTGCTGGCCTGTCCTTCATGAGGGCCTGGGTTTGGGCCTCTATCCTGGGGAGTCACTGGGTGTGATGATCGGGAGGGGAGGGCGGTTTACTCCCTGGGCCCAGGTGCTGGGAATGGAGGGGCCTGGTGCTCTGAGCAGAGTGAGTCTGGGGTGTGGGTTCCATGGGTTGAGAATGGTAGGGAGAATGTTTTCCTCCAATAAACCTCATGGTCTCTAGCAGCACAGAAGCTTTCAGAAGCCCCGAGAGGAGCCAGGTCTGTCCTCTTGGTCTCAGGGGATAAGGGGTCACTAGGATTGGCCCTGCTCCTGCTGGTGGGGGGTCCCTTGGTCCTGTTCCCCCTTAGCCCAGAGCTCCTGGCTGCCCTGCTCCTCTGTGTGGGCCTGGCTGCCTCCTGCCCTTTCTCTCCCCAGCCCTGAGGAGATGGCGCCCTGCTCCTGCCCCAGCTCTGTGCTCTGCCTCCTCCCCTCCCTGCTGCTCCTCCTCCAGCTGCCCCCTGGGGGGTCCCAAGGTGAGTGTGTCCCTCCCTGTCCTGTGTCTCCCTCAGGTGGGTGGGACCCAGGGGCTCTGGGAGCTCCTCCTTCAGGAATTGCCTTTCTTCATTTGTCTTAGCATAATGTCCTCAACTTCCATCCATGTTGTTTGAAATGGCATGATTTTACTTATTTAAAAAAAATATCTGTGGGACTCGCTGGTGGCACAAGGGGTTAAGTCTCAGTATTATCAAGCTATAACCAGCCACTGCAGCAGGAGTTTCATCCCTGGCCTGGAAGCTAATCCACATCTTACAGCAGACCTCTCCTGTCTCACCCCTCAGCAATCTAATTCTGTCATTCTGCCTATTCTGCTCCCTACTCTGTCTCTGGTGAATCTTCTCCCCCTCCCCCTTCTGCACCTCTGGCTTACATTTCATCTCTTGTATGCATACATAAATAAAAATAAATCCTTAAAAACATTTGAATACTATTTCATTATGTACAAATGTGTGTATATATATGTAATGCTACTTTATTTCTTTGAATGAATCTCTGTTCCTGTCTCTCTTCAAATTGTGGAATATCCATTATGCTTATGTTGCCTTTCCTCATAGAGTTGGTTAGTTCTTCCAGTTTTTCTTCATTTTTCTCCTTTTTCTTCTATTTCGGGCCATTGTTCATTATTATCATCAGGCCATTGATTTGATCTTCCATTTGGTCTATTCAGCTCCAACAGCTTCTTCAGGAGTGAGTAGCTTCTCTGCTCATCTTTTTACAGCCCCCATCTCTGTGATTTTAATCTAAGGCTTCTAATTCTAGTTTCTTTTCACTCATTTTATTTTCCAAGGCTTTCATTTATTGTTATGAATTTTTTTTCTCTTTGAATCACTTTTCTGTGTTTTCTTCATCTCTTTGGCTTTCTTTAAGGCAATTTGAACTCTACTTGATAGCAGGATACGATCTTCCATTTCTTTGTAGTTGCATATTGCAGAGTTGGTCTCATCTTGTGGTTTTCATACTCCCTTGAGATCTCAAGTTTCTAGGACTTATTTTGATCCTTTAAATTTCCTATTTTTGAAAAAAAGCATCTGCAGTGGTAACTTAGAGAGTTGAACTACTTCTAACTTTCTATCAGGTGACCCTGTTGTGTTTTTAGATGTGTAATTTATGCAGGACTAGAGACCTGATCCTTGAGATGCTGAGTCAGAGACTGTGGGGCCTGCAGTCATCCAGCCTCTGGGGTGGGTGCTCTGGCTGGGGCATGTGAGCTCATGTTGGTGGCACCTCTGATACCTGCCTCTCTCAGTTCAGCCCTGAGACTCTCCCCTGTGCACACTGTCCCTGAGCTTCAGGTCGGCCGGCCATTCCTCAGGGAGGATTGAGGGTGCATCCAGCTCTGTGCCTTATTTCTTCTCTGAGGACCTTGTTAGCTGGGAGCGCCAGCCAGAACTGTGAGCCTCCTCACTGTCAGCTTCTCTGCCCAGGGTCACATTCCTGGTTGAATGACCACCACAGTGTGTGCTGCAGCCTCCCCCACCCTGACCACAGTCTCCCTGTATCTTCTCTGCCTAAGTCTAGTTAGTGAAGCATGACTCTCCTTTGTCCCTTTTGTGCTGTCTGCCTGGTGACTGCTGTATGAGAGTGTCCAATTTTATCACAAGCCTCATGTTCTCTGGGTGCCGTGTTCATTCATTAACATTGATGAGCCTCTGTGCAATGAAACAAATTTCCTTAGACACCTTCTTAGTCCCCTAAGAATTCTTTTGAAATGCATATTCTTGGTATATCCTGATCTGCTGCATCAGGCCTGGGGTAGAGTCCCTGCATTTTACAGTTACAAGCCCTCCTGGAGATTGTGATGCTGAAGGTGAGAACCACAGAGCTAGGGTTTTTTATGGAAGGTCCTGCTATCAGGTACACCAGTGAATGAGGGAGCATCTTTGACATTATTTCTGGACCACAAGTTGTGGTTGGAAGATCTTTCTAAGGTTCAGAATTGTCACTGTTAATCCTTCATGTCAGCTGTATGCTCATTAGACATCTTTCCTCAGCCTGCCTGGGCCTCCGCCAGCGATGGTGTGTGTTCCCCAATATGACTGTGTCTCTCAGCCTTTCTAACTCCCATGTCTGTGTTCACAGAAAGGTTCCGTGTGCTTGGCCCCCCAGGCCCCATAGTGGCAGAGCTGGGTGAGGATGCCACACTGCCCTGCTCCCTGTACCCAGTCATGAGTGCAGAGAACATGGAGTTGAGGTGGTTCCGGTCCAATACCTTGGAGTCAGTGTTCACCTATCAAGATGGACAGGAACGACATGAGGAGCTGATGGCCCAGTACGCAGGGCGGACCTCGCTGGTGGGGGAATTCCTCAGTAATGGGGAGGCTGCTGTGCTCATTCACAGGGTCCAGGCTACTGACAATGGGCTGTACACCTGCTTCTTCAGCAACGGAGTCTTCCGTGAACAAGCCAGCTTGGAGCTGCAGGTGGCAGGTTGGTGACATGTTAAATATCTCAGAGTCCTGGAGTTTTGGAATTGGGGCAAAAATAAGGGCAATGGAATTTAGTTTTTCATTTCAATTATGGGTAAGAAAAGGCTTATTAATTCATGTTTTATGAAATGTAAATATCCAGGTACCTACTACATGTCTTGCCCTGTTCTGAACACTTGGATACAAAAGCAAATCTAATGAAGTTCTTCACTCTGTGAGTTTATATTTGTGGTGGGAGAGAGAGCAATTGTAACAACCAGGGTATAAATGATGTTAGGAGTGAGAAGTGGTGAGGACAGAAAGCTAAATGGAGCAGGGAAATGGGTCAGCAATGTGGGGCTGAGGGGAGGTTACAGTAATAAACAGTAGCTCAGGATGGTGCCATGGGAGCAAATACACCAGGGAAGTGGGAATATAGCTGAGTAGATATCTGATGTGTGGGTGTTCCTTTCTCCCCGGTTTTATAGACAGATAATTACTATGTATCATATGTAATGTGAGGCATATAGCTTACTGACTGATTTATACATATTGTGAATTGATGGCCACAATTGGTTAAATCACATCTGTCTACTATTATAGGTTTAATGAAAAGAAAGAAAAAGAAGCAAAAAGGGGAAATTTTCCTCATTGTGAAAAAAAAAATTCTTTGGCGCTTGTCCTTTAACAACTTCCCTACACGTCACAGAGCAATGTTGGCTACAGGCATGTTGTACATCACAGGGAAGGGAATTTCTATGTGGAGGCGCAGCCTGTGTGAATGACCTGCGGGGAGCATGTGTTTGGTGTGTGATCTGTTCACATGGATCCTCATGGCTGGTGGGAGAGAGTGAGGAGCAGGGTCTTGTGAGGTGATGTCACTCTCACAAAAAAATCTTGAGTACAGGGCCTCCCCTGGTGGTGCAGTGGTTGAGTGCTGGCCTCGAAGCTGCCCGCAGACTCTGCAGTGCCAGTTCGATACCCAGACACCGGCGAGAGTCCCACATAGCACGCAGACCTCTCCTGCCATGCCCGCTGCTACCCTCAGCAGTGTATTTCCGTCATTCTGCCTGTTCTGCTTCCTGCTCTGGCTCTGGTGAATTCTCTCACCTTCCCACACTTCTGACTGTATGATTAATGCCACCAAAGGTAATCATAAAAACCTCCATGTGATGTAGATATTTGAGCTGGGACATCATTTTATCTAACAGGGTCTATAAAGCCCCTCAGACCAGATGCAGAAAGGACAATGGAGTCCACAGAGCCTGGTGATTGTGGACAACAGCAGTTAGATTCTTTAGTTTGGGGTGTTGGGCCTTGAGGGCACAAGTGTAAAAGTGTGAGCACTGCAGAGAGAAGAGGCTGGGGAGGAGTCACAGATGAGGAGTCCTGGTGTACATGTGTGGCGTTTGCATGTGGAGCTGTTGGGGATTTTAAGCACAGCAGCACTTAGCATGTGACCCTGGCAGGAGTGGGGAGGATAAGGGTGGGGACAGTATCTGGAGTTGTGGCTGCAGTTACGGGGTGGAGAGGGGGCTGGTTCACACAGTGGCGATGGGTGCACGGGAGGTGTCGTCAGAGAGGTTTAGAAATAACCCAATTGAATGAGGAGAATTGGGTCACAGAATTTAAAGTGGAAGGAGGGATTGCAGAGGCTTCTGAGGCTTTGTAGAGTCTGTGTGATATTTAATGTCAGGAACATTAATAATGTGTCTGTCACCACAATGCTGCTGTGTAACAAAGAAGCACAGAAAAAATCTCTCAGTGACCTGCAGTAATGGGCTTGTATTAACATGGGCTGGTGGGGACTTCAGCTAACCTAGTTGAACTTGACTACTCTTCATTGAACTTCCTCCTAAAATTTTTGATCAGATGAAAAGGTCACTAAGTAGACCTTGGCTGTGACTCAGCAGATGTGTGACCCAACTTTCCTCATTCAATTGGGTTATTTCTTTTTTTTTTTTTTTTAATAGAGGCGTGCTTTATTTATTTATTTATTTTATTTGTTTGTTTGTTTTTTGTTTATACATGCACTGGGTACAGTCAGAAGCGCGGGAGGGTGAGAGGATTCACCAGAGCCAGAGCGGGGAGCAGAGCAGGCAGAAGGACCGAAGTACACTGCTGAGGGGAGCAGCGGGCGGCAGGAGAGGTCTGCGCGCCATGTGGGACCCTCCTCTGGTGGCTGGGGAGCAGCCGGGGATCGAACCGGCGCTGCAGAGGCTGCGGGCAGCTTCGCAACCCAGCGCTCAACCGCTGCGCCACCAGGGAGGCCCCAATTGGGTTATTTCTAAACCTCACTGATGGTACCTACTGTGCACCCACTGCCACCATGTGAACCAGCCCCCCTCCCCACTTCATAACTACATCCACAACTCTAGATATTGTCCCACCCTTATCCTACCCACCACTGCACAAAGGATGATGGAATCCACAGGGCTTGTTACATGAATGTTCACTGGCTCCTGGCTGAGGGAGGACAGCTTCAGGGGGAAATGCTGGTGACAGGCCCTGCTCCACCTGAACTACAATGTCCTTCCATGTAGGGAAGGACATGGGAAGACCCATGGGGTCAGTACTTTAAATGTCTGTAGAGTCACATGAGCTGATCTCTCATTAGACACAAGAAGTCACATGACTGATCCCAGAGTCAGAGTGTGAGTAAAATGCATGTGGCAGAGTGTATCGGGATATGAAGAAACATGAAGAATTATGGATATTTTTATATCCATTTTGTCACAGATGAGGCAAAAGCAAGAGTTCAGGTGTAGAATTTTGCCGCAAGCCAGCCGCAGCAGCCTGGGTGTCAAGGGTTCCTGAAGGATGGGAAGGCTCCGGCGCAATTGTAGAGAATGATAAGGGAGGGGAAATGAGGAGATGCAGACACTTGATCAGGGTGCTGACATCATATTGCTGAGAGTCTCAGCAGTTTTTTATTTATACTAAGCAAATCATGAGTGCATAAGCATATGCATTAAGGTAGGAAGATAACAATCATCACATATTTTTCAAGAGCAGCCAAAGGTCTGTTTGCCTTCCTGCAGAGGTTGTGACATTTATTATTCTTTGTCTTAAAGAAGGCACAGTTGCTAAACAAATGTTCTTAAAATAGTTATTTACTTTAAACCACCAAGCAGATATTATATTACTAGCAAAAAAACTATGTGACTGCAACTAACATTTCTATGTTTGCCATGGTGAAGGATTAACTAAGGGCTAGGGGAAACAAAGGGCAGAAAGTTACCTGGGGAAGGGAGACAAAGGGATTTTTTTTCTAACTAACCTATAAAGTTTAGGCTAACATATAACCAAATTATTAAAGCAAAAAAACAGAAGGATTTTATATAGAAATCATCATTTATAGTATATTGTTTTCATATTGATTCAATATTAAGGAACCAAGGGCCTGGAGGGTGTTAATGCCAGGCAAGCCACACTGACTCTTCCCTAGCCTCCAGCTCTCAATTAAGGGAGGAATTCTCCTAATCTAAACAAAGAGTTTTCTACCTATCACTCCCTACTTATCTAGTCAGCCTAGTTTCCTTATCTAACTTTAAGATCAAGGGAAAATTCCTTTTTCATAAGATTGCTGGTTGTTGTTTTAAGGAACTACAAATATTTCATCAAGGGCAGGGTGGGAGATGGTTACAGCTTTTGTGCTGGAGACCAGCTCCAGCTAGAAGTCATGTCAGGGATCTAGAAAGGAGAGGACGGAGTTGGTGAAGTTTTTTTTCTTTTGGAGGGCTGAGGGGAGGGGAGCGAGGTAGGAGTGAAGTAGACACAGACACCTTCTTTCATGCAAGTGTCTCCTGCTGAGGGTCTCAGCGGGTCTTTATTTATATCTTAAGGCAAAGCAAAGACAATCAATACATATTTTATCATGATCATGTAAAGACTCCCTTGGCCTTACACCTGTAGGCCATTTCTTTGGTAACCTAAGAACAATTAGTTTCCTAGGTACAGCTCATTTACTAGCATGATCAACAGCACAACATTTGGCAACATTTAAACTTACCCAATTACAAACATGGGTGTAAAATTCCTATTCTATATTCAATTACTAAAATCAATCTATCTCCCAGCACTCAATTAACTAGGTTAATATACTAATTACTTCAAAGTGGTCTAAAACAACTCATCAAGGGCCTTCCCAGTGGCGCAGCGGTTGAGCGCTGGGTTGCGAAGCTGTCCGCAGCCTCTGCAGCGCCGGTTCGATCCCCAGCTGCTCCCCGGCCACCGGGTGAGGGTCCCACATGGCGCGCAGACCTCTCCTGCTGCCCGCTGCTCCCCTCAGCAGTGTACTTCGGTCCTTCTGCCTGCTCTGCTCCCTGCTCTGGCTCTGGTGAATTCTCTCACCCTCCCGCGCTTCTGACTGTATCCAGTGCTTGTATAAATAAATAAATAAATAAATAAATCTTTAAAAAAATAAATAAAGCAACTCATCAAATCTATGTTAGTTCTACTGAAGTCTAACTCTTAACTAGAAATTCCTAACCTCCACACGGCCTGCGAACTATTGACCTCTTGCATACACCAGGAAATGTAGCCGCACACAGAAACCCCCAGGTTAGGCTATGGTTTCCAAGCACAGCTGATTCAGGGCAGCTTGTTCTCCATAGTTCTCAGGGCCGAAACATTTCTTTCCTAACTATACCTTAAACAATTTTTTACTTCTTTTGTGATAGTTCATGCATAAGAACAATAAGGCCATTGTCACCTGGGTCTGAATTAGGTTTTCACAACCCAATTTATAACTAACTTAAGTTTGCATTTACCAAGAACAAAGAGGAGAGCATTAGCAGGCATTGCCATGGAGACTCCCTAGTTCAGATCTTCTTTGGGAAGTGCAAGAACTCCCTTCTTCTGGGAAGTACAACTGTCCCTCTTCTGGGGAGCACAGGAACTCCCCTCTTCTCAGGAGTCTCCCCCAATGCCCGGACCATGTCAAGAGACAGCATGGGAGGCGCAGCCTGCTGCACTTTTGGTTTTTGAATATGTGACATATCAGTAGTTGTAACATTGACTATTTCCAAATGCATTATTTGTGCTGCCATGTTTATTAGCTTAACCAGTAACAAAATTGTTGTTGATTTATTCTCTAGTGCATACTCTAACAGCTACCATATCAATTGTTACATCCAGGGGAATTAGCCCTAAACAAACAGGAAAAATTTAGCAGGAGCTGGCTATGGGCTTCCTGGCTTAATAGGAGTTTTCTTTTCTTTTTTTTTTTTAAAGATTTATTTTATTTTGTTTTTTAAGATTTATTTATTTATGCAAGCACACTAGGTACAGTCAGAAGCGCGGGAGGGTGAGAGAATTCACCAGAGCCAGAGCGGGGAGCAGAGCAGGCAGAAGGACTGAAGTACACTGCTGAGGGGAGCAGCGGGCAGCAGGAGAGGTCTGCGTGCCATGTGGGACCCTCCTCCAGCGACCGGGGAGCATCCGGGGATCGAACCGGCGCTGCAGAGGCCGCGGGCAGCTTCACAACCCAGCGCTCAACCGCTGGGCCACCGGGGAGGCCCAATAGGAGTTTTCTTAAAGACTTTGGCTGAGAGATGTTTACAGCCTTCTGTTTCCAGAAGTTTTTTCACTTTGTTAATGTAAGGCCAAATGTTGAATTACAGCCTTTTGGCAGAGAACTACTAATTTTATAAAAATATAATATTTGTATCACTCAGTGACATTTGCAATCAAATTGGTTATTCAGTAATTGATCAAAAAGCATTTGCAGTTTTACTTTTAAATGTGTATTTTGACAATGGTAGAAACTAGCCATAAACAAATAAGAATCTAGTAGGAGTCAACTAACGAGATTCCTGACTTTTCAGGAATCTGCCCCATGCCCGGACTTTTGTCAGACAACATGAGTAGTATGGCTTCCAGCAGAATTTCTGGTGTGAAGAGCATGTAAGGAATCCTGGCAGATGTAACCCACAGGGATGGGGCTATCAGGGAGGGAGGTAGGAGGCTGGTGAGGTGATATCTGGAAGTGATGGGTGAGGAGACACAGAAGCTGAAGGGGATGAAGCCCTGGGACAGGGTTTGAGATAAGACAGGTCTTTAAGGACTGGACCCTGGGACTGTGCTGCCTACAATGAGCAGATGCAGGGAGAGAAATCAGGAAAGGGGTTCAGCAGAGGGCCAAGTTACAACAAGCCACCCTCAGAGGGAACTGACCAACCCAAGATGGAGATTGTTTCAAGGTCAGGTCAGGGAGACTGTGTGAGAGGACCTTGGAGACTGGGGTGGACAAAGGGAAACTTTTGTTGTATTACCCAGAACAGAATGGACTAGAAGGAGAAGCTGCACTATGGAGGCTGAGAGCTTGTTGAGAAATGAGCAAATATAGCTTTTTATGGCTTATAAGGTGTACTCTTCTAAGAAGAAAATAATTCTACAAAGTTTTGAACATGTTTATATAATTACAAAAATAGTAGGTAGAAAGGTAGATCGTAACATGTCAGGTCATCATCTTGCTCTTCCAGGGATATTCTCCATCAGCTGCCCCAGAATGCACCTTGACAACCTCCCCTGGAGGTGTGCACAGGAGGGCCCTTCCCTATCCGGCTCTCATCTCCCTCCGCAGGTGTGGGCTCTGCCCCCAAGTGCACATCATGGGGCCAGAGGAGGATGGGGTGCGCGTGGTGTGCACGGCCTCGGACTGGTTCCCGGAGCCCCAGGTGCAGTGGAGAGACCCCCAGGCGGAGCAGTTCCTGGAGTTCTCCAAGGTCCAGGCCCAGGACACTGAGGGGCTTTTCAGCGTGGAGGCTGCTCTGGTGGTGAGAGACAGCTCTGCGGGGAGTGTGACCTGCTCCATCTACAACCCTGTCCTGCGCCAGGAGAAAGCAATGGCCATTGTCATCCCAGGTCAGCGCTGCTCCCCCCACCCCACTCCTTGAAGGGTCAGAGGGGTGGGGACCGGGCACTGCCAGTATTGCTGGGCTGGGCTGGGCTGGGCTGTGTCCTGATGGGGTCTCTGTGGGGTCTCTGTCTGCAGAGCCCTTCTTCCCCCGGTCCTCTCCCTGGAAGCCGGTTTTCCTGGTGAGCCTGCCCTTGACGCTGCTCCTGCTCTTGGGGGCTGCCTGTTACACCAGGAGAGAACATTCCACACTGATGCGGGAGCTGAAGGAACAGGGAAATCTACATCAGGCTAAGGAGAAAGACAGACAGACCAAGGAGGAGGCCCTGAAGGATACAGGTAAGACAGGACAGGGCCAGGCTTGTGAGTATGACAGTGGGTGCTGAGAGGACAAGCTGACACTAGAGCCAGAGCCCATGGTCCCTCTGCAGCGAGATCAGAACAGGTGACTGAAGACATCGATAGAGGACAGTGGAGCTTGGAGGCTCATGCTGGTCTGAAGGTGGAACTTTTAAAACACAGAGAGATTCAGTTTTGCATCTTTTCTAGGCACAAATTTTGTTCTTAGGGACAGTTTGTGCTTATACTTTTAATTCTCTTTCAGATGAACTCCAGGCCATTCTAGGTAAGCTCTGCTCTCCCTCCTGAACTCTCCGTGTCCACTTCATAGGAGACATTCTGGTTCTTAGCTCACCTATGTCCTGTGTTGCCTTTCAGACCAGAGGAAGGCAGCTTACCTAGCTGGTGAGTGATGCCCCAGGTGTCCTGTGTCCCTCTCCCCTGTGCTCAGGGATCCCTCCCTTGGCTATTTAAGCACAGACATGTGGACCCTTCCCTGGGGTGGAATGGGAACAGGTAGGAGGCAGGACCCTCCTCCATGGGGTCTCCCAGGTCTGGATGCTGTTTCCCTTCTAGTCTTGGGATCCTGGTGGGGTGGTGACCCCTGGAGTCTCCTGCATCCTGGGTCTCATTCCAACCTTCACCTTCCCACCATGGTGCTGGCTTTCTAGTCCTCAATGTATCTTGTTCTTGGTCAACACCTGGAAGTAGAGCCAGCTGCTCTGAAATTTTGTAAGTAAATGGACTCTTGAAGTTTAGATGTGTGACCCCCCCTCCTCCCCTATTCCCAAACAACCCCAAGGAGAGTCTGTTCTCCCTGTTCCTGAAGATGCTGATCAGTAGTGCTGGAAGAAGACAGGATGACCCTGCATGGGAAGGAGTGGGGGGACTTGTCATCTCCCAGAGAGTATTTATCTCTAGAAATACTGCATTGGAGGAAGATGGGTCATTTCTTCTCTGGAGCTGGTGTGATGTCCATGTTGTGTTTTTATTTCATCTTCCCATTAATTTCCCAGGAAATACTGAATGTAATATTTACTGACTAATATAATACATTAAAAAAAATCTTCCCATATACTGTTTTGATCCTTTGTAGCAACATTGAGTAGGAGATGAAGCAGGATCTCTGAAGGCTTTGAGGCCCAGAGCTGTTCAGTGACTTCCCCAAAGCCCCACAGCAGCAACAGGCAGGGCTGGGTCATGACCCCTCCATCCTCTTCCCTTCACCCTAGAGAGTCTCACCTGCAGAACAGGGGGAACCCTGGGCCCGTGGATCACATGAGCAGGTGGTTGTGCTAATGTCTCACCTGTGTATTCCCTTTCAGCCTGGAGGAAGGCCCAGATGTATGCAGGTGAGTGGCCCTGAGGGTCCTGGGAACCCCACCCACAGCCTTTCCTCTGCCCCTTCTCTATCAGGGACCCCACCAGGAAGGGGCTGGGGTCCCTTGTCAGCTCTTCACTCTGTAGCCTCCATCTGAGAACTGTAGGGTCCCACTTGTGAACACAGACCTGTCTCCTCCTGCCCTGTCCTCCCTGCAGGTCATGTGGGGTCAGGACATCCTCTGGCCCTTGTCACCTGGTCCTTCCTGTGGGTGAGAATGGGGGAGGGGTCAGTGTGAGGAGAGGCTGTGCAGAGTCACAGCTGTATGAATAAGGAATTGCTGATCTCTGGAAGATTCCAGACAACCTGCTTCCTACTTTGGAGTTAGGTCTTATTCAGGGGTGCTTGGTTATGGATACTTCTGCATCCAAAATCCCTATCCTTTTTTGGATATAGGTTTTGTTTTCTGTTTCCTCTTGGTTCTGCCTCTTCATGCTCTCATCCATGTCAATCTGGATTTTCCCTCTAAACCTTTTTGGTTGCTGAGGATTTAGTTATAGAACAGGTGTTCTGAGTCTGGGGTCACACTTTCTGGGGTGTTTATGGAATGCTGGGCTGGGGCCTGTTAAAGATCTGAAATTATAAACAAAATCCTATATGTGTATGTGTGTGTGTGTGTGTGTATGTTTGTGTGTCTTTGTAATAAGGTAAACAAGGTATGTTTTTTTCAGAACCATCACCTTTTTTACAATTCTCTGTCTGAAAGTCTTGTGGTCACTGCTAATTCACTTTTATTTTTATTATGTTGATTGGAAAGAACAAACCGAGAATTGTTATAAACCATTTCCAAAGAGTAAGGAGGAGGAATTTTGAAAGAAAAGTCTAGATGGAGAAAGAGAGATGGGAAGTAGAGGGGTGTGTGTGAGAAGTACCTCCCAGAGGTTTTGGGACTGAGGAAAGGCTAAAGGGCACAGTCACCAGTTTGAATTTGTGCCATTTGAATGCTGTTTAAGTCTTGGAAATGAAATACAATGGGCCTTTTTGAAGTATTTCAGGAAAACTTACATTTTATTTATCTAAGATTTATTTATTTATTTTTATTTATACAAGCACTGGGTACAGTTAGAAGCGCAGGAGGGTGAGAGAATTCACCAGAGCCAGAGCAGGGAACAGAACAGGAAAACTGATGAAACACACTGCTGAGGGGAACAGCGGGCACAGCAGGAGAGATCTGTCATACCATGCGGGACCCTCGCTGGCGGCCGGTGATAGAACCGGCGTGCAGAAGCTGTGGGCAGCTTCGCAGCCCACCGCTCAACAGCTGCACCACTAGGGGAGGCCCACATTTTATTTATTTATTTTTAATATTTTATTTTATATAATTCTTAAATAATTTTTCATTTTTGCACCATGTATGAATTTTCATTTTCGTTATATTCCCCATAAAATTGCACCCCCCTTATACTGACCCTAATCCTTCCTCTCCCAACCCATAGTGTTTCTCTGGTTTATAGTTGCTTATTGATTTTGATTTTTCTTTATTATAGTTAGTCTTTTTCCTGGTCCCTTATTTAGGTTTTCTAGATTCCTACTATGAGTAAGACCAACTGGTATTTTTCTTTTTCTTTCTGGCTTATTTTGCTGAGCATGATTCCTTTCAGCTCCATCCATGTTTCTGTAAATTACATGAGTTTATCTTTTTTGATGCTGAGTAATATCCCATTGTGTATGTATACCACACCTTCTTGATCTAGTCATCTATTTTTGAACATTTGGGTTGTTTCCATAACTTAGCTATTCTAACCAGTGCTGTTATAAACATAGGGGTGCAGGTACCCTTTTGAATGAATGTTTCTGTGTCATTTGGGTAAATACCTAGTAGTGGAATTGCTCTATTCAACTCTCCATAGTGGTTGTACCAGTTTGCACTCCCACCAGCAGTGCAGGAGAGTTCTTTTTTCTCCACATCCTCGCCAACATTTGCTGTTGCTAGTTTTTTTAATATGTGCCATTCTCACTGGTGTAAGATGGTTTCTCATTGTAGTTTTGATTTGCATTTCCTGATTACAAGTGATGTTGAACATTTTTTTCATATGCCTGTTGGCCATTTGCATTTCCTTTTCTGCTCATTTTTTGACTGGATTATTTTCTTTGTCTTTGTTGAGTCTCATCAGTTCTTCGTAGATTTCTGTGATCAGTCCTTTATCATTAGTATTGTTTGCAAAAATGTTCTCCCAGTCGGTGGGGTTTCTCTTTGTTTTGATTATTGTCTCTTTTGCTGTGCAGAATCTCTTTAATTTGATGTAGTCCCAGCTGTTTATCTTTGCCTTCACTATCACTGCTTTGGGTGCGGTGTCTGTAAAGATGTTTTTGAGGTGCACGTCATGTAGTGTTTCACCTACATTTCATTCTATATATGTTATGGTTTCAGGTTTTATGTCTAGTTCTTTAATCCATCTTGAGTTGGTTTTTGTGCATGGTGTGAGGTAGTAGTTGAGCTTCATTCTTTTGCATATAGTGACCCAGTTTTCCCAGCACCATTTATTGAACAAACTTTCTCTGCTCCAGTGCATATTCTTTGCTCCTTTGTCAAATATTAGTTGACTGTAAATCTGTGGGTTTATTTCTGGACTTTTCTATTCAGTTCCATTTGTCCGTGTGTCTGTTCTTATTCAAACACCATGCAGTTTTGATTATTATGGCTTTGTAGTATAGTTTGAAATCTGGGCGGGTAATGCCTCCATTCCCTTCTTTTTTATTCAGGAGGGGTTTGGCTATTTGGGATTTTTGGTGACTCCATAAGAGTTTCATCAATATTTGTTCTATTTCTTTGAAGAATGTCATTGAAATTTTTATTGGTATAGTGTTGAATCTGTAGATTGCTTTTGGTAGGATGGCCATTTTGATAATGTTAATTCTTCCAATCCATGAGCAGGGGATATCTCTCCACTTCTTTGTGTCTTCTTCTATTTCTTTGAACAGGGTTTTATAGTTTTCATTGTATAGGTCCTTTACCTCTTTTGTTAGGTTTATTCCCAAGTATTTTTTTTTTTATTCAATGATAAAGGGGATGGTTTTCTTGATTTCTTCTTCTTCAGATTTACTGTTTGTGTACAGGAAGGCTACTGATTTTTTTTTTAAAGAGGTACATATTTTTATTTATTTATTTTGTTTATTTGTTTTTGTTTGTTTGTTTATACATGCACTGGGTACAGTCAGAAGCACGGGAGAGTGAGAGAATTCACCAGAGCTAGAGCGGGGAGAAGAGTAGGCAGAAGGACTGAAGTACACTGCTGAGGGGAGCAGTGGGGGGCAGGAGAGGTCTGCGCGCCATGTGGGACCCTCCTCCGGTGGCCGGGGAGCAGCCAGGGATTGAACCGGCGCCGCAGAGGCCGCAGGGAGCTTTGCAACCCAGCGCTCAACCGCTGCGCCACCAGGGAGGCCCAGGCTACTGATTTTTTTGCGTGTTGGTTTTGTATCCTGCCACTTTACTGAACTGATTGATTAGTTGATTTAGTTTTTCTGTGGAATTTTTGGGATTCTCTATGTTTATTACCATATTATCTGCAAACAATGATAGTTTGACTTCTTCCTTGCTTATTTGGATTCCTTGTATGTCTTTTTTTTTTTTTTAATAGAGGCGTGTTTTATTTATTTATTTATTTGTTTGTTTGTTTTGTTTATACATGTACTGGGTACAGACAGAAGCGCGGGAGGGTGAGAGAATTCACCAGAGCCAGAGCGGGGAGCAGAGCAGGCAGAGGGACCGAAGCACACTGCTAAGGGGAGCAGCAGGCGGCAGTAGAGGTCCGCACTCCACGTGGGACCCTCCTCCGGTGACCAGGGAGCAGCCGGGGATCTAACCAGTGCCGCAGAGGCAGCAGGCAGCTTCGCAACCCAGTGCTCAACCGCTGCGCCACCAGGGAGGCCCCTTGTATGTCTTTCTCTTGTCTTACTGCTCTGGCTAGGACTTCCAGTATTATATTGAAAAGCAGTGGTGAGAGTGGATATCCTTGTCTTGTTCCAGATCTTAATGGAAATGCTTTCAGCTTTTCACCATTGAGAATGATAATGTCTGTAGGCTTGTCATATATGGCCTTTATGATGTTGAGGTATGTTCCTTGTAACCCGAGAGTTTCAAGGGACTTTAACATAAATGGGTGTTGTACTTTGTCAAAAGCTTTCTCAGCATCTATTGATATTATCATATGGCTTTTGTATTTCTTTTTGTTGATGTGTTGGATTACATTGATTGATTTTCATAGTTGAACCCTCCTTGTGTCCCTAGAATAAATCCTACTTGGTCATGGTGAATTATCTTATGAATACATTGTTGGATTCTGATAGCTAAAATTTTTATTGAGGATTTTTGTATCAGTGCCCATTAGAGAGACTGGCCTGTAGTTTTCTTTTTTGTGTGTTGTCCTTGTTTGGTTTTGTTATTAGTGTAGTGTTGGCTTCATAGAACGTGTTTGGCATTATCCCTTCCTTCTCAATTTTTTGAAAGAGTTTGTGAAGGATAGGCACTAATTCATTTCTGAATGTTTGGTATTCTTTTGTAAATCATCTGGTCCTGGGGTTTTGTTTTTGGGGAGGGTTTTGATTACCATTTCAATTTTGCTGCTTGTAATTGGTATGTTTAGGTGTTCTATGTTCTCTTTATCTAGTTTGGGTGATTATACAGTTGTAGGAATTTGCCCATCTCTTCTAGATTGTTGAGCTTGTTTGCATATAACTATTCATAGTAGTTTCTGATTATTCCTTTGATTTCTGCTGTGTCTGTTGTGATTTCTCCTCTCTCATTTGTGATCCTATTTATTTGTACTTTCTCCCTTTTTTCCTTTGTGAGCCTGGCTAGGGGTTTCTCTATTTTATTTACTTTTTTTTTGAAAAAAAACTTTTGTTTTCATTGATCTTTTGGATTGTTTTTTTTAGTTTCTATTTCATTTATTTCTGCTTTGATTTTTATTATTTCTTTTCCTCTACTGGTTTGGGTTTTTTTTTTTTTTGTTGTTCTTTTTCTAGTTCCTT